ATCAACAAAGAATGAGTCGTAAAATACATTTTTAGCATGAGAATGTTGTACTTTGTTGAAATTCACTGTTTTAAACATGGGGAAGATGCATGGTGGAGTGCAATACCCACCTCAACCCCATCACGGTTGGGGCTGACGCATGGAAATGGCACTCTTATATATAAAATGTTTTTCCAATTTGTCTGAATTTGACAATTCTGGCGAGTTTTTTTTTGTGGAGTCTAACACGGTATAAATCCGGAAACGGCCATTTCCAGTTCTCGCCCGAACGGGTGTTAGACGTGGACCGCCTGCTGATATCCGCTGATAATCCAACGCTGCAAATTGCAGTGTTTTGGAGGAGCAAAAGCAGCAAACAGGGAGCATTTTTTATTGCTCGCTCTATGCTTGATGCCTTTGTGATAGCTCTTGAATTGTTTTAACACACGCCAGAAGTAAAGTCTGTTTAAATTGTCATGGTCCCTGCTTCGTTTACAGTAAAATTTTTAAAAAAAAACAAAAAAAAACTGAAAAGCTCGATAAAATAAATTATTTCAACGGAGGGTTAGCCTAAAATCCAGATTGTTACCCTATTACATACGTCCGCCACATGCCTACGTGATCGTGGTACCACTGCTTACTTGTTAAACAATGGTAGTAATTTTCTGTTTTATACTACCATTGCCACACGAATGAAAGTTTATTCTGGGTTTATACGCCCAAAATGTACATCTGCAATTTATTGTGAATTTTCAATGTAGGCTCTATTATGAAGCTTATTGTTGTAGCTTCTTCGGTCATTTCATTACTTACAACATTATGCAGTGTACCAACGCCGATGTCCGTGTCTTAATTAAAGAGTAGGGTGACGTAAGAGTCCAGGGAAACTTGATAAACCTCATCATTTGCATAATACCTTAGATCTTACGTCAGAGGTTAATGGTTTTTTGAAAGCTAAGTTCTGCACAAATGGGTAGACCATCCGCCGACACAATACTGGTAAGAACCCTATGTAAATTTTTCCGTTCTCGCACGAACACACTCTTAGCTTCCAAAATTCATGATACAGTAGAAAGACTGCAACGCCTCCACAACCTCGGCACACACATATAACTAATGTAAACTGTAACATTTGCGATGCACAATGGTTAATTTTAGTTTGGTTATCACTAATTCTTCACACATGATTTGTGTTTATACTTATGTTCCAGTCGGCTATAACTCCTTCACCCCTTGAACACAAAATTGGAACAATTTTAGGGGGGGGGAGAGGATGGCCTTAGACCCGGGCAATCCCCTTTTCAATCAACATATGATTTCTTTTAAGTCTAAACTACATCCAAGTTATACCCTGGGCCTTGCCCAAGAAAAGGTTGGTACGTAAAATTGGGCGTAAAGTAGTTGGGGGGCTTTCATTAAAATCCGAGGTGGGCTTATACCCGAGGAACAACGGTACAGAAATATGTATACTTTGATTTGTTTATTTTTCATAAATTTTTAATTTTGTTTATAAGTTCTATTAACTGTTTAAAAAATGTTCTTACATTTATACCAATATTATGAAATCAATGTATTCATAATGATAATATAGTTGACAGATAATTATGTTCCCAGATT